CAATTGTTACTACTTTTTGTGTAGCAATCTTCTTTGCAGAGGCTAACTATGGCGGCTGTAAGGCTGTTCCTCACACATTTTTGCAGTCCTGAAGAGTGATTTCAAGATGGTGTGTCTCTAGGGATTAAAAAAAAACAAAAACAAACCCTCGTATAGCCCATCTCTAGTCTTAAGTCTGGTTGTTCCAAACAAGTAGCCATTGGTTTTTCTACTTAGGTTTTATGATACACTAAACACAGAATTCTCTATTCAGCTAGCTGTGCCCAGCTTCAGCTCTTGCATGTTTTCTTTCTTGGTGTGAACCTCTAGGGCACTCAGCAACCCTTAGCCCTTCCTGACAAATACTGCCATCAGCATTATCGGTGTTTCGTTTATTATTCTCACTTTTGGACAATTCGTGAAAAGAGAGCAGAGACATCTTTGCTGTGATATATTAGATTGTGCTCTTACTTCTTTTAACTTATTTTATTTTGACTGGCTGTGAAATACTTAGCCCTGAGCTCACACATAGTAGGAGTAAAGCAAATGGTGGGTGTTATTAGATACTTTGTAAACATTTCTCCAAGGTCTCTGGAGCTAGTATGAGCCTCATCCTTTACCCTCCAGAAATCCGCGCGCAAGTTCCAGCACAGCCCCTTCTCCTTGGAATATACATGCGCCACCAAGTCAAGAGTAATTGGTTAAGTTGCATCTTGGGAGCGGAAGTTGTACTCTCAAGCATGCGCCTTATGAGAGCAGTTCTTGCATATACCGTCCCTCTTGCCGTCTAACTCCCACCCGCATGCGCAGCAACCCCCCGCCGCGTGCGCATGTGAGCATGCGCGCCCCACCCCCAGCAGTAGGCGGTAAATTTTTGCTTAAGTAATCTGTAGAAGAACCTTGAAGGTGCCAGATGCATGGGAGGAGCTGCAGAAGCTACTGCCTCATGGACAGCGCTCAGGGTATGAAGCTGCAGGACCAGCCGAGCCAGGATGCCGATGGCTTCCTCGGTCTGGTAGTGGATGAGGATGGTGGAGAATTGCATGGTTCGTGCTGGTCAGCCAACTCCAACAAACCTACATTTTCTGGGCAAGGGAAGCAGACCGGACACCACACCGATGCAGCCACTCACCTCATTCTTTCCATGGCCTAGGCTACATAACGCCCTAATCATTCTTTTTCGGTTTTTACTTTTGCAGATGCAAAGCCTATGGGGATCTCGCTAATCCCAGAGGAAGAAGAGGGAAAAGGTACACAGCCTGAACCTGAGTGGAGAGCAGAAGGAGAAGAGAAAGGAGCTGAAGAAGAAGCAAAAGAAGGCAACGACAGTGGCCCAGGTAGCTCACACACCCTGAGCCCCATGGAGGTTGAAAACCACGAGGCCAGCCGCGTTAGTGGCCAAGGACCAGGAGAGCAGCGACAGGAAGAACAGCCAGGGGACAGGCAGCAGGTGGCCCAGCATGCCATGTTCACCGAGGTGCAGCTGCAAGAGCTGGAGCGCATTTTCCAACGTAATCCCCATCCCGACTTGGTGATGAGGTAAGTGGATTGCCAGGGTTGGCACTCTTTCCAGTCAGCATGTGGCGATAGGCCGCAGCGGCCTTTGGCGCCCCCTCATAGGCCCCTCTTGTTCTCTCCTGAACTAAAAGCAACCTAAGGATTGGAGGCTGTGAGGAGGAATGGCGGCGGCTCTCCTACAGTTGAGTCCGGGCGGGGCGGGGGAGGGAGGTCTGCTATGCCTTTTGGGACTCAAGGTGCATAAAGTCATGGTGTATTTAAATGAATCAAACTGGGAATCAGGCAGGCACCTGTTATTTTAAATAACTTTATATTAGAACCAGATTCTATCTTAATTTAAAATGTTGAGAAATCTGTTCACCATAGATTATTTGGGTGTTGGTTTTTATATTTTTAAATGCTGCATTTGAAAATTATTTAACTTGGGTAGTGATTTTTCTGCATCCCCTTAAATGTGGCTCATCAGAAGCACGACTCAAGCTCCATATTATGAAATAGTGGGGGTGGGGGCTGGGGATTAAAATTTTTTTAAATAAGCACAATCAAAGAATGAAGAGCAGAGAGTTTATATTGTTCTTTACCATCTACTAGCAATGTACTCCAACCTGTGCATCACTCTTAGGTAGGCAGAAAAGCCAAGCCATTTAAGGGTGTAACTTAATCCATAAAATGGGTAAGAACGATGGTTGAAAGTTGGTTGGAGATATTTCCTCTGTCAGAGAAGCAGTTGTTTTGAAGTTGGTAACACTAAAAGAAACAATGAGAATTTTATATTCTCAAAGCATATTTTCAAAAATGCTTTGTCAATTTAATTTCACTGTAAAACCTGAAATGGTGTGCGTTTTCCTACTACAGCAATTGATACATAAAATAAACCACTGGCATTACCCTGAAAATAATTTAAATAAGACTGAAATATTTTATATTCAATGTTCATCCACATCTCTGGATACTGACCATTTGTGGTTTTCTCCTCTCAGACAGGACATTGCGGCTCGCATGAATGTGCCTGAAGCCAGAGTGCAGGTCAGTAAACCTAAAAAAAGCCATTGGGCGGGGCAGCCATTCTCAAACCTGCTTGGGGACTTAACACATCTTTGTCCAAGACAGTGTCAAGTTCTTGTGGTTTTATTGCCTTTTTCATCATTGGAAAACAAGCTTGGTGTCTGAACTAATAAGATAAATAAACTCTAGCTTTTGAAAATTGCCCATTATCAGAGGGAACATGATTTCCAATTGGAAAAATAATTACTATAAGCTATACCTATATTAACTTATATGTTATATGTGTATCTCACACACACAGTTCAACTGCTAACACTGATATACTTGAGATTAAACTTTCATGTGAGGTCATATTGGGGTTAAGCGTCAAGTGGAAATTACTGATATTAATGAACCAAGGAGTGTAATTATACAAAAATGTGGGCTTTTTTATTTTAATGATTGAATCAAAAAAGATATAAAACCACAGCTTCTGAAAGAACCATTTGTTCTTGCTTACTCTTGTACCTCTCTTTGAACTTGACTTGGCCTCCTGTCAGGCCTTGTATTTCAGAGCAGGGACTCTGAAAATATCCTTGTTGAGGACAGTTTGTCCATAGGGATATCCACAAGGTAACTTGTGGGCATGAGGTGATTGTAGTTTTAAACTTTCACAAAAGAATTGACCTTTAACTTTTTGGCAATTTTCTCCTTGTCCATGGCAGTTGTCATATTGTGGTGATAGTGGTCAATTCCAGCCACTGGATCATGGCAATAGGGGCAGTCTGAGGTGTCATCATCAACATTCCTCATGATGACTGCTTCCCACCTGGAGTAGCTTCCGGCTGGGATCCGGGTTTCATAAACTTGCCCATTTTGACTGCAGCCACTTGGGGCTAGAGCAGAAAGGGAGTTGCTAAAGTATTTAAAAAACAAGCATAAGCTTATTGCATAAGGGGTAAATTTATATTTAGGGGCAGGAGCAGGAAGTAATTTACACACTAGAACACAACAGATGAGCAACCAAAATCTGTTTAGTAAATGTGAGAAAAGTGTTGGGGTGGGTAGTCCCCAAGTCCAAATACCTGTTTCTCCTGTGGTTCTTTTTAAGGGTTTGGAGAAACAGCATAGAGAGTGGCAGCCCTACATTTTAATTTTGTGGAATACTCAGATATCTCAGCCTGCAAACATTGCTAATATAGTTGGCTGTGCATTATGGTGGGGGTGAAACGGAAAGTTGCAACTTTTGAAATGTGTCTGAAAAAAGAAATGAACTAAAACAATTTCAGAGTTCTACCAACCTAAGGAAGGCATTAAGTGCTAGGCTGGATTAATATAGAATCAACCGTGTACTCTGGGGATAGATACCACACACAGTGAAATTTTAGAAACTACCTAAGAGATCTTTCCCTTCCTTTTTGTGAAGAGACGGGTTGTGTGGAACTTGTTGGTAGTGGGAGGTGGCTCTTAGCTCAGGCTGTATGCTCACCTGGGGTAATCTGAGATACTTTTTTGTTTCCTCAGTCAGCAATGACTGACTTATGGGTCAGTGGATCAAGAGGTGACTTTCTGAGACCATACATAGACCTAAGTTGAATCAAAGAACAATTTAGAGTAAAAATGGAGAAGAAAAGAGAGGAAAAATCAGGATGGGCCTATCAGCTTTGCTGCAGACAGTGTGTGTGAGTGCACTGACAGAATCTGGCGGCAGATCTTCTGCTGGTGAGCTGCCTGAAAAGCAGCCCAACCAGGCAGGCCACTGAGTGCCAAGGGCAGGGATCACAGTCAGGGATGACCAGGGCTTGGGAGGAGCAGGGCTCTGCTTTCTAACCTCAGGCAAAGCCAGCTCAGAGGAAAAGAAATGATTCAGTTTAGGTGACTTGCTTCCCCCTCCTAGGGTTTGTATAGTGCCGCCTCAATTGGGTTCTAAAGGGGAAAAGCCACAGAAGCAAACAAAATGTCTTCATTGACTTCCAAATTCTACAGCATGAATTCCACCGAGAAATTTTCCCGGTTTCGTTAAGATATAATTGACATACAACACTTTATAAGTTTAAAGCGTACAGCATGAAAATTTGACTTGCATATATTGAGAAATGACTGACAAAATAAGTTTAGTTAGCATCCATCATGTCACATAGATACAAAATGAAGAATAAATTTTTTTTCTTGTAATGAGAACTTTTAGAATTTGTTCTCTTAACAACTTTCACAGTGTGAACTGTAGTCATCTTGTTTATATCCTACATCCCCAGGACTTATTTATCTTATAACTGCAACTTTGTACCTTTTTACCACCTTGGTCCAGCTCTCCACCCCAGCCACCCACTTTAGTAACCAAAATTCAGATTGTTTTCCTATCAGTATAGTTTTTAGTTTTTTAGACTGCACATATAAGTGAGGTCACAGGGTGTTTGTCCAAAACAATTTTATTTATTTATATTATTTATTTTAGTTTTTAAATTTTTCTTTCTAAATTATATTTTATTGATTATACTGTTAAAATTGTCCCAATTTTCCCCCCTTTTGCTCCCCCACCATTGTTCATGTCCATGAGTCATGTGTATAAACTCTTTGGCTAAGTTCCTGTACTGCTCTTTACATCCCTGTGGCTATTCTGTGACTACCTGTTTGTACTCCTTAATGCCTCTATGTCTCCACCCATTCCCCCAAAACTGCACTCTCATCTGGCAAACATCAAAACACTCTCCATATCCATGATTCTGTCCCTGTTCTTCTTCTTTGCTTAGTTTGTTGTTTAGATTCAATTATTCACAGGTACAGGTAACAGTTGTTTGACTCTTTCTACCCAAACTCTTGGTGGGGCAAAGATTTTTAGAGTTTTAAGAAATTTGGTTTGAGTCTGTCTAAGTGTTGATTACCTCAACATTCTAAAATATTAAGGCAGCATCCAGGGCTTCAGCTTTACTCATGTCCCAGCAACACAAGCCATAAACTCCCTGGGCCCCCCATGACCAAGCTTCCCTCACAATACCATCTGTTCAACCATTAAGAGGTTTCAGATGATGAACAATCCTTTAGGCATCCTTGACTGAAAGTTTTATTTAAAAATCCAATGCACTCCTACCAACTCCTCACTGTACACCGAAGTAGGGCCTCTTGAAAATGGAGGCTGTTCCCTCAGCAGGATTTTAAAACACACCCACTTTTTACCATAGTCTGCTTCTGCACAGGTGACAGACTACAAGGCAAAGTAATAACAGCAGGTACAGAGGGCCATTCCTCAGTTCCACTTGCATCTATGAAGGGGGACAAATAAAAGTAAAGGTGAGAGCACAGAGAAAGCAATAAGCCAAGCCATAGCCTGGAATATAGTGCTCACTGTGGGTGGGAACTTTCTTAATATGCTTGAGCTAGCAGGAAATAGCTTCCTCTAATGCAGTTTAAAATATTAAGGACATAGAGTTGCTTACTGTGTTTTCTTCAGGTATGATATAAAATGCTCAATGTACTAAACTAATCATTTTTTCTCTCTGAAGGTTTGGTTTAAGAATAAGAGGAGACATCAGAGGGCGTTAAGGCACAGAAACGTGCACCCTGTGTCCCAGGGTCACCCCACTGGCATTAATTCGGGTGGATCCCACAATCCTATCATTAATCAGCAACATGCTTGGATATTCTTTCAGCAGCCGGCTTACATATGGTATCCTCATCCACTGGCGCTGGGGCTTCTGCTGCCGCCTATGCTACCCATTCCTCCTCTGTTCTTGCCTCCTCCTCCGCCCTTCTTTTTTCCACATTTGCCTCCTGGTGTCCCATTCCCACTTGCCTGGGCATGGTACTTATTTGTGTTTTATCGGTGAATGATACGTTTATGGCCCTCATTTTCTAATAGTTCACCGAATATTTGTTTTGTGTATTAAATAAAAGTACTAAGTCACTGACCCGCTATTTGAGGGCACATTCTTTGTAGTTTCAATAAAGTTGTTAATTCTCTGTATGTTTGCACTGTGTATTATATGGGGTTGTTAACTGTGGTGGGAATTGCTACGAAAATGCCATTGAAATGGGACAGATCCAACATATCCCCCAATATCTCAGCCTCTACAGCCACCTCCCCGTGTCCTATCTGCACACCCTGCCACTGGACCACAAACATACAC